GGCTGATAGCCGTATTGCCGGCTGGTAGCCGTGATGTATTGTAGTATACTACAGTATACTACTTACAGGCTTGGCTGACAGTCGTATTGCATTGTAGTATTGTATTAAAGTTAAATAACCCCGGTTGGTAGCCGTGGTGTTTTCTAGTACACTATAGGTCCTATAGTATAGTATACTACAGACACGCCCGGCTGATAGCCGTATTGCCGGCTGGTAGCCGTGATGTATTGTAGTATACTATAGTATACTACCGGCAGGCTCGGCTAACACTCGTATTGCATTGTAGTATTGTATTACAGTTAAATAACCCCGGCTGGTAGCCGTGATCTATGCCGTAATGTATTGTAAATGTTGTATTAAAGAGTAGATACGGCTCCGCTGGTACTGTACCCTTGGCCGTGTACAATGGTGTACGTATTTACGCAATCATAAATCGTGCTGGCTAAGAATAACCTCCATATATACAGTAAATTAACATATTTTCCGTGTAAGACGTGGTGGCGCAGGGGAACAACACTTAGCGTGTATGCCGAGGGTCGCAAGTTCGAATCTCAGAGTGAGCGCGAATAATTCTCAATTTTTCTCTTTGCCGTAATTTTTTTTTCTCGTTTATTTACCTGTCGCATAGCTAGCTGTGTTCATTGGGAAGATGAATTTAGATGCATTTCGATGATTTTCGGAAAATTTAATGTAATTTTGGTGGTTTTCTGCTTATGAAACATTCTAGAACCAGTCTCCGAAATGCGCGCATTTTTTGAACGAATAGTATACTATAGAATACTATAGTACAGCCCGGCTGGCAGCCGAGCAATCGGAGACAAAATTTCCGGCTGTCAGCCGGCGTCAAACGCGCTAATCGGGTGATATTTTACACTCGTGATTGAGGCAGATGAGAGCCGGCGTTACGTCGTTTAAATTGGATTGCGGTTGGATGTTCAAAAAAGTTGAATGTTGAATTGCGTAAAAAGTTGAATGTTGAATTACATAAAAAGTTGAATGTTGAATTGCGTAAAAAGTTGAATGTTGAATTACATAAAAAGTTGAATGTTGAATTACGTAAAAGTTGAATGTTGAATTGCGTGAAAAGTTGAATGTTGAATTGCGTAAAAAGTTGAATGTTGAATTGCGTGAAAAGTTGAATGTTTAATTGTGAAAAGTTGAATGTTGAACTGCGTAAAAAAGTTGAATGTTGAATTGTGTCAAAAGTTGAAGTTGAATTGTGTCAAAAGGTGAATGTTCAATTGTGAAAAGTTGAATGTTGAATTGTGTGAAGAATTGAACAAAATACACAAACTAGGATCACAAATAGAAAACTTGAATTTTGGCGGAAATATGACGTCATAGTGAAACGGAGGGCATAACATATATGCATATTTGTGTTTCAACATGCCTAATTTCGCAATCCAAGCTTAAACCATGCATGCATTCAGTCGATTTGTGACTTAATGTGAAAATTGCAAACCTATCATACATACGCTTACTACAGTATAAAATTCATTTGGTGATGTAGATGTGGTCATAGTCTCGACGGTCTCGTACACGTTTGGGGATTGCTGTTGATGCGACGCCACAGTTCGCCAGTTCGGTGAGATTCGTAATATGCAACTTTTAAAAGGTAAAGAAGACAGGGATGAACTATTGGTTTTACAGGTATAAATTGAAAATTACTGTCAGAATTTACACTTAAAATTGATCACCAAAGGCTGCGTGCCGCTGTGTTTCCTTGGTATATAATGAATCTATAGTTAACTATAACTAATATTTTATACAACTGACCTCTGCACGTTCATCATTTATACATAGAGCAAATAATATTTGTAACAAACCTCATCATAAGTGGTTGCAAAATCGTCGTATAATTCTCGAACTTCTTCTGGTTTTGCGTCCTTTGGCATAACAATCATGCGTGCCATTTTGCGAAAATGCGATACTCTAATTAAACATTGAACTAAAAATAACTGGAACGCTACGTTCAAGCGGAAATTTGAAGCTAAATTCTACAAGGTCGTACACAGGCTTTAAAAGACCCGTTTTAAATTGAAAAGGCCCGTTTCCCTTTCGATTTGCATCCTGCCATGAAAACGTTCAAAACGGCATGCTTCGAGCGCCCCCTGCATTGTCTCGCGAGTAAATCGCGCAGTAGAAACACGCGTGGAAGTGCGTGTCTGGGAGTCAAATTTGGCTTCATGGGAGTCAAATTTTGGCTTCAAAATTTGCATGCGCAGTTTACTGAACGTAGCGTTCCAGATTAAACGTTAAACCGCTTAAACGTTAAACGATGAACGTTAAACCCGAACTCTAGTTACGCAACACTCTGTAACCGCGAGCAGTCTGGGAACGTGTTTGTCAAAATCAGTTGCATCCTCGTTCCCAGGGGTTCTCGGCTGCCTGCGTTGCTGTTGAAATTTGCTCGAAATTTGTTCGCCAGCGAATGTAGACAAAGCAAGATTCGGAAGAACAACCACAACAACGAACTTTAAATATAATTTTCAGGCTTAAAGATGGATAACAATGTTTACATAATTATTAATACTATACTTTATTACGCGATACGTATTTAATACGTAATGATAACAAATTATCCATTGCATTTATATAGCTCAGTGCTTGGTAACCAAGCCTTAAAGTGATCCCAAAAAATTTTTCTGCACGCGGCTATGCCAAAATCATAGGAAAAACTAAGAAGTCGCCATTCTGTATAGTCCCTCTTCTGTGACTGAGGTCTCCGACCACTCTCCGACAATATGCGAATTGAGAAAAACGTAAGATCGCGAAACTGTCGTACATACTTCGTCTTCACGATATATCTCACGAAGAGTCCGGACCACTGAGCTATATCTGCCTCGTACCCAGGCGTCTCTTTGTAAAAAAACAGTGTTGCGCATATGACGAGTTTACATGAAGTATTGTAGTGTGGAGAGATGGGCGAAGGGGCTGATGGGAAGACCCAGCACGCACCTTTCCCAACAGCCCCTTCGCGCGTCGCCTGCCTACCTGAATACTTCATGTATTGTAATTATTTAAAGCGCCTGGGTACGCGAGGCAGGAGCTATATGTGGTTCGGACAGACACCGCTCATCGTTTTTGTGGATATGATAGTGGCCAGGCGCGGCCACAAAAACTATCTATCATCATCTATCTAAATACCTTCAATATCATTACTTTTAGCTGTACGTATGGGGAAGTTATATACGAGAGTTTCCATCAACCACGTTACCAAACTTGCTTCTCGGATAAAATAAAGGGACAATTAACCGTCAATATTACCCGGCCTAATGGGAAGCCTCGCAGTGCCTCGGAAGGTCGTCTCCAATTGGACGGGGGTTTTCTAAAGAACGAAGCAATTCATTGTTATGAACACAAAAGCAATTGTCAAATCAGGCCAATGAAAATCACTCTTCCGAGTTACTGCGAGGCTACCCGGCCTAATTCTAACAATCGATATAGGGAGATATCGAAAGTAGGTAGCAACGCGATGTTGCGTGACGTCAATCAGACCTGAAAATAATGTAGCCTATTCTTCTGATGTGCATAAAAACACCCCGTTTTCACTAACTGTATTCATCTTCCGACTTTGTTGTAGCACAAAACGAGCTAGAAAGTGAACACTTTACAAATAATTCAATAATCCAAATATCAATATTTTATTATTTCCATTTCACAATATAATAATTCAACTACACTTCATATTATATATTCGCATTCTATCACATAAATTAAAGAAAGAGAAAATGAATACTACATTGTTCACGCAAACAGGAAGTCTATGGCATGTGGACGAAAGGAGTATCTCGAACCAGCAAGATTTATCCACACAGTACGAACAGTCTAGTACTTAACACAATCGAGCTTCCTGGTCTGTGCGGGGTCGGCATGGGAATTGTACATGTTGCTAGAAAAGCAGGATTGTGGCGTTTCCCAACACAACTAAATCGGAATTGAACAGAAGCCTAGATACCGTTCAAGATATCGTTACGTATTCAATGGGTCCTCCACTTCCTTTTGCAATTCACTCAATGAATCTTGTACCTGCATAGAAAAGAATAACACATGTTAACATACAGTGTATTCCATTCTCGAACAAATAACATATTAAAGTAACATTTTATACATTCAGAGAGTTAACATCATTAAATTTTCTGCACGAAAAGTTCAGTCTTATGATGTAGTACTATATAGGTATAGTGTATCTACAAAGTGGGGAATACTGCGATTGCTTTTTTATTTTATATCCTCTTGAAACATGAACTTTATGGAACCCTATTATGAGTAGATTGTAGATACCAGCTTTGCGGGCTTACCGCTGTGCTTAGAAGCGTTCTCCAGCAAGTGTTTGAACCGATTAGGAGACTTCAGCGAGCTTCATCGGCGCAGAAAAATTGTTTATACGCTAAATGTGCCACGTTTGCAACAAAAGTCAAATTCATGCATGTTTAAGTTGTCCAAAAATTTGAATTCCAGTAACTTTAAAATGGTTTCTGTATATTGTGCTTTCCCATGCATGCAATTCCGATATTGAATAATCACAATGTACATACAGCGCATGACCACAATGCAATAGCATGTGCAATATAGCTATTTGAAGCGATAAAAAGCAGCAATTATATAAGAGTTTCAAACCGGCCCCTATATGTGTATATGATGTATACTAAGTTACTAACTAACCTGTTGTAAAAACTGCATAGACGTCGAAAGAACATGCTGCCACCTAAAACAGAAACAATGAATTTAGTATCAATTGCACTTATTTTCTGAATGAGTGAATGAGTGAATTGAAATTTACACAAATTTCAATTTACAAACATAGAATGGAATGTATTTACAAGCTATAAAAGAACCTTCTTGAACCAATATAACTTTTAAGGTCCCCATATGTTATATCCACCGGATAAGTTAAAGAACTTCATTCAACCGCACTGCATGCATATTGTATATGTTTACTGTATAATCCATCAAAATGTTTAGAGAAACTCAGAAACACACAAGCCCATGCAGGGTTAATGGTATAGAAAGTATATTTACGATTTTTGAGCATCTTCATGCAGTGTAATATGTTATTATTTTTGGTATTCTAAAGTACGTAACATACATGTACAGTATTACTTATTTTAACCCCGTAATTTAGACAAAACTAACCTTTTAAATTGAATGTTTTGAATGTACTGCTGCCTGTACAGTAGACTACGAAACTCGTCGACGTTTGTAGGCAAGTCACTAGAAAAAATGTAAACTATATAAGTATTTTTAAAGTATAGTGCTTTATGTACTATTTAAAGCACGCGTATAGGAGTGTTTTATCAGATATAAAACACGAGGCGCAGCCGAGCGTTTTATATCTGATAAAACACGACTACAAGTGCTTTAAATGGCTTAAAAAACGACTCATCTTATATGAGTTCATTGGTGAAGTAATTTTTAAAATAAACTTTGTCTAAACCGAGAAAATCAAAGTTAAAGTTTATGTAAATTAACATGATTTTTATCACATATAAAGATACGACACGCTTATGATTTTTCTTTGTGTTTTCCTCCTGAATTATTAATGAGTTTTTTAAGTACTGTTTAATAAACGAGCAGGAGTGTTTTATTAGGTTTAAACCTAATAAAACACGACTGCGAGTTTTTTAAATGGCTTCAAAAACGTTTGCACAATAAGTCAAATCTTTATATAAAAATCTTTATATAAAAATCTTTATATAAAAATCTTTATATAGTTTGCATAACAATGGTCTTTTGTTAAAGTGTTCTTTAGCTGGTATAAAGACGTATGCACGTGACTAATTTCTTACTCAAGATTGGATAATTGCTTCATGAATTATTAATGAATTTTTGAAAGAGATTTCGAGCACTGATAAAAGTGATAATCTCACATGTGAGATTATTCATGATAATCTCACATGTGAAAATTATCGCTTTCAATTATCGCTTTTCTGTAAAAATTATCGCTTTTCAAAGACTGTCCTTTATATAATAAACAGAAAAATACATGGGTGCTTGGAAATACCGGATTTATTTCTCGTGTTGAACATGATATCTCACTCGTTCGCTGCGCTCACTCGTGAGATATCATGTTCAACACTCGAAATAAATCTGGTATTTCCGCGCACCCATGTATTATTCTCTATGTATTATATATACATTGTTACCTACTATTATATATACACGGTTTCACTTTCTTTACTATATTGTTGTAGTCCAAACGAGAACGTGCAATGAAGAGCAGTAGATTCAAAGCCTGTTTACACTGGACTTTTTCGTCATTTTCCTCTCCCTGATTGATGCGATTGAAAGGATCACGACACTGTTTGGTTTGAAGGAATGACTTATATTGATAACTAAATCTACTCAATCACATTTTAAGTGGAGAAATTGACAACCTACTGTATATCCCCTATATATGTAAATGGCATTAACAGCCCAGTGCTTAACCACTGGATCGTACAGTACACTTAATATCCCTTGTACATGCAGTACAGTATGTACTGGAATGAAGAATAGCAAAACCATTATAAAGAGCGATTTGGACATGCACACAACATAAAATAAAAGTTACAAAAGTCTCTACTGCGCATAGCAGTCGACGTACTTTAAAGATGGGGCTAAACCAATGGTTTCCCACGATTTTGTTGAATGTTCAAGTGAAATTACTCTGTAGCTGAGATAGACGTTTAAAACGATTAAAAGAATCAACCTAAACGGAAACAAAAAACAGACTATTAGTCCTAAAGAAATTGTTCAATCATTCTTTCCGTTGTTTGAAAAATATATTAAAATTATCGACAGTTTTATAAACTTACAAAGATATAAATGCACCAAGAAACCAATTGTTGTCTCTAAGGGAAAAAATGAAAATATAGATTTAATTTTGAATTAATACTCTATATACAATATACAGTATACTGTCTTACTCTTTCGTCTCTAAATACATAAAAAATATTCACGAACGCATTCGAAAGCTTATATACTGTATCCAATTAATGTGTACAATTTGTGTTGAACAAAGTGGTGTACGCGAGAGTGCCTTCAAATTCACTGTATGATGACATCAAGTTTCCTCCAATAACGCTTACCTCCAAATATGGTTTGCGAACGACGAAAATCGTCCACCAACTTTTCCCGAGGAGATACCAGTAGATTCACCTATACCAATGATGATAATAACGTGATGAACGGATATTCATCATTTCATCAGTATATATCATATTTATTGTGGGTTTATTAGAGCAACTACCATACATTTACTGCCATACAAATTACCCAATCGGTGAGTGAGCGCTGGCTCGTGTCAAGTGGTTGTCACGGTAACACGATCGTTTTATTCTTATTAAAATGGCAAAAATAATTATTATTTGTGCTTTTTTATTTGAAGTTTTTCAAAATATAAAATAAGGTAATTTAGGAAACTTACACCTACACTGATATAGTAAGTGGAAAACAATAGACTGTAAAGGCAAAAAATTAAAGCAAGAAATACATACTAGGAGAATACACAAATTGACTGGCCACTTGATACAGTAGTACAGTATAGTACCTGCTTCTTCCTGAGCTTCACCCTCTTCTACTTCTTTCTCGTGTGTTTGCTGTCGTGACCGTTTTCTTGATGAATTTAACCGTCTTCTTAAGTGTAAAACGGATTCATCTTCTACCGTCTTGATGAAGTCCTCTGTAATTCAAATAATATAATTTGACATTATAATAAATAATATAATTTGACATTATAATAAATTAATTATTCTCCAATTCACAAAGAGGGAATTGGAGAATAATTAATTTATTATAAGTTCAAAACTTTTCAATGCTAGACAAGACAAAATTGACAGGAAGCGTGCACGGTTTTTAGTTGGAAGCGATATTACATTCTCATTTCAAGTTGTCGATTAAATACTGTATCCATGTAATTTTAATTACGTAGTAGTGAATTCAATTTGTACTTACTTAAAAACTCAAAAAACGTATACAATGCGTCCGTAGAATTCTTTGTTATCATATCTGTAAAATACCACAGAAAGTTTTAAAACATGTATCCGGTGCTGTAAAGTGTATTTGATAAGAGAGAGAGATTTGGCAACTGGAATGTTTCTTCCATGGTTTTCTTTTTGTTCTCCGTTTCCTCTTTTATACTAACATCTAACCAGAGGTGTAGTGAAAGCCGAAAGGGGGGCTTAGCCCCTCACCTTGTTAAAATTTAAAAATTACCTTTCAGTTTGGGGGAGGGGGCTTGTACGGCTAATTTTCCAGGATGGCATGCACTCTGATTAATGAGCCCTGTAGTGATTGCATGTTCTTGTCACAATATGACAGAACTATACATCTTATAACATCACTTAAAATACAAGAAATCGTGTTTCGGAGACCGAATATCGAAGATTTTCTGACGGTTCATGCCCTCAAGGCCTCCATTGAACAGCCCCCTTGTTGAAATTTTAGAACTCTGACACCACTGCATCTACCAAAACGGGAAGGCCGCTACCGGTCCTCCAAGGAGGGAAGTTATGATCTGATAGAGCTATTCAGTACAACTACACATATAATAAGTTTAAATTTTGGGCTCTTGAGATTTTACTTACTTTTTACAAATCCCCACACGGGTCGAACATACTTGACGGAGGCTGTTACTCTAAAATATGGAAGTTAAAGAAATATGTAGGTAAATTAGAGCACGGCTGAGACCAATTTCTCTTGCGAAAAGATTAACAAAAAAAACCATACCTAATTCGAGACATATACGCATTTACTTTCGAGAGACAATATCTGTGGATGACGACGAAACTATCTGCATAAGGTACGCCTTCATTCGTCACCTATAATTTACAAAGAATTCAATCTTTAGACTAAAAAAGAGGAAAGAGTGAATTTTCTACCTTTTTCCCTTACCCATCTGATTGAATTTATGGAGGAGTTCGCCCTTTGGAGGGGAGAGGTAACCCTGCTGGGCCTAGAGTGAACTTCCATATATGTACTGTATACAATAGGAATATTTCCTAAAGGCGGAAAACATGTCAGAAGGTGGGTGGAGGGTGGGCAGACATTTCACGTATGCCCACAAAAAGGTTTCAACCATGCAGGTTCCTAAATTATATAATTATCTGCATGAAACTAAACTATGCATCAATTCCCCATAACGTATACCTTTATGATTTATATCAGAACAACAGAACGGGTCAATATAGCATAAAATAAATAATGTAAATTCTTACGCTTGTTTCCACCACATAAAATTGTCCTGGCTCACTAGCTTCCAGTTGCTAAATAAATAATATTAGTACAGTTATATATACGACATTCGTAAAATCCAAATTTCTTTACGTAATTCGGGAATTTTTCACATTTTATGAAAGAGCCTGGCTTCCCGAGCTACAATCCTGGCAAAAATTATGTGGACACCTAACTTTTCTAACGCCAATATTAACATTGAGACGTTCTTTCATGAAATTTGTCGCCCCTGCCCCCTATTCAATGTTGTTTCGCGCATTTAAATTTGAAAAGTTTCATTTACCAACATTGAATTGGGGGTAGGAGGGGGAGAGATTTTCTGGGGATTAATTCTGTAGAAATACATCTATTTTTGCTTGACGCACGCGGTGTCCACAATATTTGTTTTACCTAGACGAATTTCAGCCTTGTTTTTATTGTAGCTTGTTTTACCTAGACGAATTTCAGCCTTGATTTTTTCACAAGTTTTGTTGACAATTGCCTTGATGGAATTAGTTGTCTTGAAACATATTACCACTGCATTTTTTAATTTTGTTTTTACTGAAGGAGCCTCAAAGATTGTTAGCCCATGCGTGAGCGCCGTGAAATTTTGTCAATAACTGGACAACCATACTCATCATGTAACTTATTATTCCATTTCAAGACCTATTCTACTGTATATTTAATCCAAACTAACCTGATTTTCCTGAATTCTTGACGTTTTTGGACCTATCGCTAAACCAAGATTAATAGTGTATTTTACTGCACGCTTCTTCTTGTCATCCTCTTCCACCCAAGGGTCAATATCAAGATCTAGAAAACAACAAATAACAAATAGGAGTGTAATTCAAAGCAAAAAGTTAAAGCAAAAGTAAGTGTACAGTAGCACCGCAAACATGACACTAAATTTTTTATTGTCCCTTCTGAAACAATTTTCAAAACTGTGAAACAACTTCTTTCACACATTTTCCTTCACGTTTTTCCTTGGTGAGATATTTCAGTTTTCTTGATATACAGTGCAAACAAATTTATCTTTGCATAATGAGCTACCAAACATTTGAAAATTTACGTGTTTTTATCCAACATCATCACTTGGAAAACTGCATACGCATGCTTTACATTATTCACAACAGAACACATTGGAATTTTCAAACGATTAACTCGCTAATAAAAATGATAAGCTGACATTTAATGACAGCTCATTAGGCAAAGTACAGTATGACGTAAATTTGTTTGCGAGGAAGAAGGTATAAACAAAAGTTATTTTGCAGTTGGGAAAATCTTTTCAAAAGGGACAACAAAAATTTTCGTGACGTATCACCTTTAAAATACTAAACAGCTAGTATACTGTAACAAGTGGCATGCAGATTATTTAGTGAATGTGCCTTTCATGTGTGTTTTTGGGTTTGATTATTGTGGGTATCTCATTATATCTCACTTCGGTTATGTCATGCATGAACATGCATGCTCATACAGCACAGTAAAATCTTACCGAAATCTTTCCTTGCTGAGCGAATGCTGCGATAAAAATCACAGTCAGTAAATAGATACTCGTACAGTCTATCCACATCAATAGCGTATTCCTAAACAAGAAAAAACATCGATATCTTATTATTAATGAAGATCAAGTTCTATTAAAGAATTATGATGACTGAAGAAGTGCATGCAGTACCACGAATTTTGTAAAGAGTAAGCAACACGCGGGATGACGCGGGACGTTAGTCACATACGCCAGGGCGTAGTAAAACCCCACCAATATTAGTTTTTTTCCAAATTAAAGCACACCTCAGTGTTGCGCTCTTGTTTTGCCTTCTTAATGAATAAAAACATACAAAAACAAACACACGAGGTTTCAGTTTTTGGAAAATTTTTCGCGAAACTATGGAGGAGATTTTTCGACGAATGAAGAGAGTAACTGAAGGATCTTGCATGTCATCAAGTATTTCAGGTATGTTATCGGCACGATGCTTACACAAAAAACAACATGCATGCACGATGCATCACACATAGCACGGTCATTTATCTGCGAGTTTCACCGCCAACTTCGTTTTTCAGATAAATTAGCAGGCTCTATGCTTTTGCCTTGTTGCTATGGGAATGGCATTTTCGAAAACAAATTTTGCAAAGTAGAAAAGAATGCCCGGTCAGCACGAATAAGCCTTTATATTGGAGTTTGGCAAATAAGCTGTATAAGGAGCCACCTTAAACACCCTCTGCACTTCACAAATTAAATAACTTCCATACCTCATTCAGACATTCAAGGTTCAGATGACTTTCGCAAGGACATAATACAGGACCTGGAAAATATAAATATTTGACTTACCTTGAGGTATTCCTATTATACAACATTCTATATTGAGGTACTGTATGTCTACTGTAAAACACCCCATATTGAGATATTCCTACTGTACAACATCCTACAGTACATGGAGGTATTCCAGACGAAGGGCCTTCGCTCTAAATCCTCCTTATATTTTTCAGGTAGTTGTATCCCTACCAACGAAAGCTTGCTACTGTACAACACCCTATATCGAGGTATTCCTACTGTATAACACCCTATATCGAGGAATTTCTACTGTAAAACACCCTATATCGAGGTATTCCTACTGTATAACACCCTACTGTATATATCGGGGTATTCCTATACTGTAAAACACTCTAGAAGACCTACACATACCTTCTCCATCTTCATTGGAGTCACTAACACTGCCATCTTCAATTAAGCTATCCCGATGTATCCTATCATTTACGTCTTCAGTACTGCTATGTTTCTTTTTTTGTCTCTGGTTTTTTCTTCTCATTAACGGACTAAACTCTTTCTTAAAGGGAAATGGAAACCTTCGCCGAGTTTCAGGCAATTTTCTATGAGGAATAGTTCCATTGGAGACTTTTGGAGCTGACGTTCGATCATTATTATGTTCTACTTGAGCTTTGCTTTCAGTTGGGGAAGCTGGAGATACTGCAATATCAGGAATAGTGGAAGCCAATGATTCCCCACCTTCCAAAGACTAAAATATAAATTAAAGATAAATATGTTTGTAGGCTACTGGGTGTATACAGTTGGTATATACTTTAGGAAAAGATATTTTAACTCATTATGCCGCAATTTACTCTGTCTGACACAACATGATTTTGGTACAATGCACACTATTTTGTTTTCAACTCTATCTATCAGATAAAGGTGATACTGAAGATTACTAAGGATAAACATGTATTAAGTAAACATTACTTTATCATCTCCTTCCGCCTTGATAGGACTATTATTTTGTCTTTCGCCAGAGTTCTGTTCTTCTGAGTCAGCCATTGAATCGTTATCAACATCAACATCTTCATCAACGATTATGTCATCATCACAGTCTGACGGTAGCTCATCGTTACTACATCGACTGCTGTTGTCAAAATCCTCAGAATAAATGTCTACATATTTTCCTACAGCTTTCATCAAAGCTGGAATACACTCAGGTTCATCTGACAGGACATTCTTCCATATTCGTGTTAAACTACGATACGTTGAATCTCTTGATACGAACGATGTGAAAAAATACTGGAAACAGCAAGGATAGATGTGTTAGTAGAAGATTCTAGACTAGACGTGATGCTGCAAAAATAAAAACTCTGCCAAATTACTGTACAACCCTACAGTACATACTGTACATGTACGTCCTTAATGCTTCTCAATAAATTACGAAATTTTTTGAGAGATACGGTAAGGGATCTGTACTAACGCTCGATGCTACTGTACTTGTGCTAGAAATGAAGTAATCTACTGATTTGATCAATTTCAGACTGAGATGCTTACACTTTTACTTTTTTGTAGGATTGAGTACAGTACTCACAGTAAACATTTTTTTATGTATGGATTATCGAAGGCATAATAAATTATTTAAAACTACAGTACACAGTACCTTCTCTGATTCAGTCCAAACTTGAATAGCATTTGGAATAACCAAAGCAGTTTTCTCTTTTGTCAGTGACGTAACATATTTGAAGTTTATCGTAACCTAAGAAATAATCAATGTCAAACGTAAATTAGCTACGACACACACATACAGTTACAGTACACCAACAAGGTGTAGTATACTGATCACAAGCAGGGAAGACTTAGTGATTCGTACTTTGCTCAAGTACACTGATGAAGGCTTATATCCAAGTTACAGTAGTACTGTAACTGTCACATATTGTTTTCAATGCTCGTACTGTATGGATTAAAACATTTTGCACTTACCAAAGTTTCCCACCCAAATATATTAGCATAAAAGCAAAGCCAATTCTGTGACACATATAATCTACCATGAACTAGAATATCTCTTTGTAAGGCGCATGAATAATCTAAAGGAAAGAAAGGAAAATAAGGTAATTATTTTGAGGGCCAGAAGTTTGTTCTTGCTTCGTACTATTGAGGGTGGTTTTGGGTGGTTTTGCTTAAAATAAAAACCGGAAAACCGTCTCCAATTCTAAACCGGTAAAACCAGTTTTTCCCCTTCAAACTTTGCTTAAACTAAATGAAGAGGAATTGTGGGCTTTGTGGCGTCAGCAGTAATTTTTTTGAATTCAGGCTCAGAATACGAATCGTACGCGCCAAATCGCGTAAACGTTACCTGAACATGATTTCATTTTTGAACTGAAAGAAGTCAAGAAATGCACTTTGAAAACTTTAATACCGCTGTACGTTATAACTTGACTGCATAATTATAAACAACTGCATAAATCACTGCAAACGATCACCAAAAACTTCAATAACTATACAAAACTACACAACACACATTATAACTTGTCAAAAAAGTGAGAAACCTCAGAAAAGTTTCGAGCAAAAAATTCATAGGTTTTTAGCCAAGAAAACCAACATGACAAGCTTGTGAGTTGAGTTGTGTGGTTTCAGTACTCAGTAGTGCCGCTTGGCTGTAACAATGTTATCAGCGACACTGAAAAGTTGTTCGGATGTGAAGAAGAGGCCCTAGAAACCTTTTTGATCGCAAACCGACGTTGGTGTCAAATTACCGGGCGATGACAGTACATAATTATGTAATGACGGTTTTCCGGTTTTTCTAAAAGCTAAACAGAAAAAAATAAATAAAATTCAATTCAACTTCTCAAATCTTTCATGTTCTTAACACACATAGAGTATGTATACAATGGAACAAATTTCTGTAAATATCGAAACATTTGTAGTACACACTATTTTCAGTATGTTGAAAACCCAAATATCGAATAATCAATATTTAATAAGTTACTAATTAATATAATACAAGATACTATATTTAAGAGAATGTTTTTATCTTTGTAAAGTCAATTCATTATGATAACAGCATTTTAATACTAACCTGTTATTAATTTCTCACTTTCTGGAATATTTTTGAACAATCTTCTAAAGTCACCTGTTTTTGATTTGTATGAGGGGAACATCTGCAATAAAACCATATACCATAGTGCATATAAATAAACAAGTTAATATTAAAAGCAAGGTCTAGCAACCAGGAGATTATTTAATCCATCTACAGTAACTGCATTGTGCCCTACTTTATTACTTTACTACAGTATGTCTAATGCCAGATGATTTTACTCATCAAGGCAAGACAGTCTAGTTATTAACCCATTAAGCTGTATTGCATCCCAATATGCCCCACCATACTTTATTACTTGATTTGCCCTGATTTTGCTTGTAAATGGGTGAGCACTGGTGCTCCCAGGGTTAATTCGAATTTTGTTATTCATACCTAAACAAGTTTTAATTGCATCACATACTGTAGGGAGTGAGCCCTTGCTGCTTAATTTGTTACCAAAACTTCGCCTACCAGTTAGAGCAAAGTCAAAGTCAAAACTATTTCCAAGGCAATTAGAAAAGGTTAATTTACTAGAGACTTACAAAATACATACTGTACTGTAATACCTTTGCAGCATAAAAGCACCTTACATACATGTATAATTATGAAATTATTGCAAAGTTTTAATACCTGTTGAAAGGATGCTGGCAGCCATGAAGATGATGAACGCTAAAAAGATGGTAAATATTGAATTAGAACTGTGAGCCATGGCTGTATAATTATTTACTTTGTGTGCAGGTAACTGAAATCATAGGCAGATTTTCTGGGTGTATGCATGTGGAGGGTCTGTTAAAGTCACCCCCTCAGAAAAGATCAGCATAAACCAATACGTAATAAAATTTTCATGATTTAATTATGCCATATTTCAGGTGAGCCTACAGTATGTACTACAGGTGTACAAATCCGTGTGAAATATACATTTCGGATTGGATTGATAAAGTTGTTTTGTAGTTGGATCGGATTTCGATATTCGAAATAAAATGAATTAATTATCCACACATTATGGCAAGAATTAATTATCCATGCATTTATCAATGCATTATCGCAGTTGTCGCTGCATGATTCGTTTGATACTTCAATTGGACATCACTTAATTTGTCAGCTTCTTGACATGTATTTCTTGCTTTTATATTTATTTGGTTAAATATTTCAACTTGAATGAGAAATTTATTTTATTAAAGTATTCTTCGGATCGGAATTCTTTATCAAAAACTCAGATCGGATCACAGGGGGCCCATCCCGGGTCTTATTGAAGTTATGTATTAGAATTACGTATGAAATATATAGCTCAGTGTTGAAGCCTGCAATTTGCGGGCTGTGTACGGGCTAACAATGGCCCCCTGTGATCGGATTCGGATTAGACAATTTCGGATAGGATTTTGAACATTAGCCAATTGTCGGATTATAAACGTCCAATACGATGCACACCTCTAGTACAGGTATGTACATACATCCACCCTTTGCTAATATTAGTTTGCAGTTAATGTTGCCCCACATAGTTGGCAAGATGAGTGAGCTAAATTGGAGTCAACTGGCATTTTTCGGATAAATTACACTAAGCCTTCATGCAGGAACATCACTAACTTGAGACTTTAGCTTTTAGAAAACACATTTTAAAATTGGTTTAGGAGAAAATCGTAGTAACTGTAATTTTAGTGTAAAACTGGAAAAAGAACTTCCATGCCAGGCTGGACAAGACCTTCTGACCACGGTCTGTAGTAAATCACATTTGCATATGGTTATACCATGGATCCCAACATCCGACAACCATATAATACATGCAAATAAATTTTTTCCTAAGCCATGCATGATTATTTGATACACCAAGTGAAATGAAATATATTGTTCTGTGCATTAACCCATTAATTCTCATTGTACCCCAATGCACCCTACTTTATTATTTTTACTCTAACACCAGACAGTTATCCGTGGGTGAGCACTGGCACTCAGTGGGATAAATGGTTTTATTTGATTACTCACAATATTTTTTCTTGTGGATGGGGAAAGTTTTGCATCCTTATCAGACTTCTTTCTTTCATGCTTTTTACGTCTTTCTCTCAGTCTAGAAGGGCTGATGTCCCGAAGACGAAACTTGCTGCTACCTTCCACATTACTAAAATGAACAACAGAAATAAAATACATACATTAAATATAATGTAAGTAGCCTATCAACTTACCAGCACAAAATGCAGTGTTTTGTCGACCACTATTCCTATAAGTAATCTTTCCTGAAACCAGACCTTTCATCAGGGCAACAAGACACTATATTATAACTATGAAGTCTAGTAGCAGTGCTGTAGGAAGCGCTTTTTGATTCGGGGGTCTGAAAACAAGTGCCTTGAGTCAAACGCTGCAGGCGTGAGAATATAGGGGAAATTTTTAAATTTAGAGTCTCTGAAATGTCATTCCCTGGACTTTGGGGAAGATTTGACATAATTCTGATGGTCTGAAAACAGTGTTATAGTGTGTCGAAATTTACAATTTGTTTAGAATTTAGTAGTACTAAATGGGCAAAGGCGTATTTAATTAACTATATATTGGATGAGTTGCAGGAGAAAATATAGGAATACTGTATCTTCATTCTTTGCAGTTTGTCATGGATAATAAATGGTATATTATTTAAATGATAAAGGTCTACATGATTTTGGAAAAAGGATTATTAGCAAATTATTGGAGGGGGGGGGGCTACGGCCCTGACTAGATGTGACCAGTGCTAGTGAAGCCATCTGGACCCTTACAAAAAAATCTAATTGGAATTCTAATAGGAATTTTTACTGGAAAATGGCATAAATTCCAATTGGAATTCCAATTGGAATTTAAATTTTCCTATTGGAATCCATTGAACTTCAGACAGAAAAACTCATTCCAAATTCCAATTGCATTTTTTCATATGGGGACAATAAGAAATTTCCTGTACCCAGCAAGTTAATAAACAGATCTCTTCAACAAACAAATTGGGAAAACGGAACACCTAAAACGGCTTTCCTAAAATTTTTCATTCATGCCCATATTGTTACTGGATAGTTGAATGTATATTATTTTGACATAATCTCATAATTCATGCATAATTATAGTTCTCAACCAATCAAAATCACTAGAAGACATGTCAGTTATGAATAAAGTCTGTCTCTGACAAATTTGTGATCACTTTTTTAAACTTGATAATGTTTGGAAATCGTTCAGAAAAATGATTTGCCAAGCAAACTTTTCAGCTTGCCCGGTGTGGATGAACACTCAGAGTAACATCACAAACATCACAATTATATAATTTAATTTAATCTGGTAGTCTGCAGATATCAAAGATCAAGCAGACAATCTAGTTTCATTGCCAGTTATTACCTTGCTGACCTTCGTATTGTTGATTCCTGGTCAGCATGAATGCTATGAAAGAAACCAATAAAGATTAATTTAGGCTAACTGCTTTACAAAATACAACTGTACTAGGGTTGAGCAATATAGCAAATATCAACATTCAAAATATCATGACATCATTATCATCTGGGAAATTATCACTGCAATATTCAATAGTATCACAATAAATGCAATATCAATAATTACTTTATTATATTTGTTTTAGTAAAATAGTTTTAGGACTTGGCAAGGGCCTCTTTCTCTTGAAGTTTGCTTACTATATCTTTTTCTCGATCTCCATGATAGTCATTGCAAAATGACAAGAAAACAATATAAAATGAGACAAATGTCAAACGATTGTTAGTTACTGCAAACTGCCAATTGCTGTTAATGAATTCATCATAGACTCAAACTGCCACAGCCCACAGGAACAGCGTCAAAAAGCTGTAATATGATCGTAACTTACAAACGTCATGCTTTCATGAAGCCATCTGACTTAGCGCTACATAGTCTAGTGCATTCATGCCTTGTAGATAACGAAAAAGTACGAAACAAATAAATATCAACCTTTTGAAAATGACAGAGTACTTTGTTTGCATGCGAACAATTGCGCTGTGGAGTCTGAGCGTCATGCCTCGCGTCATGCTATATAAAAATTGCAACACTGGCTGGTTTCCATATACATATTTTCTGCGTGGTTAAGTGTTTTCACTGTTTTGTTTCCTGAGTTATGTTATCTGATAATTAGGAAGCACGAAAAGGGTTATTCATAATAATATCAATAAATGTTCTCTGATCGTAAAATATTAAAATATTTATTTAATATTTTATGATGTGGCCGGAGCAGGAGCTCAGAGCTATAATTCGGCCGGAGCCGAAAAACCGGAGTTTACACAGCACTAATTGAAAACCCTTAATCCTGTCTTTGCAACTCATTTAGTGTTTTCTCTGCTTCTCATTTGTACAGTACAAATAGCTTTTGTAAATTGCTCTCATTTATCGAGGCAAAGCTCACCATAGCTTTTGGTGTAAACAAGATGCTTTTGCTGGTGTTGCGATTATTATCTATCCAATCAAAACAGACATTGTATAAGCTATTATACATATTACGAAAGTCACCGAACTGTGGAATCGCATAAAAAATTTGTATATCGACCACTCCCACAAACGTCTACGACCGCGCCTACATATTTTTGCATGTTTACAATTCTAATTTTAAACAGCCAATTACCAAGAACCTGATTGGCTGTTCAAAATTAGAATTGTAAACATGCAAAACTATGTAGGTGCGGTCGTAGACGTTTGTGGGAGTGGCAGACATACAAATTTTTGATGCAATTTCACAGTTCGGTGACTTTCGTAATAGCAAATTAGGCTGTTGTGATATTGAAAAAATATCGAATATCGATATAAAAAAAAATATCGCAATATTTTTCAGTTTTCATATTATTTTTGACATTTGCATTTTGCACGAAGTGCATTCCTGTACACTTCTTTAAGGGCAACATTGCAATTTGTAAATCTATACTGTATGACCGGTTCAATCCTTTTAATAATATACCTACTCGCTTAGAATCTTTGCAACACATGCAAAATTACAAGTCAGAATGTCAGATAAAAATCATAAATTACGGTTTATTACTTTATTATTTGTTTAAAAGGCAAAACTGTAAAATGGTATTACAAGACCTCAAAAACAACGATTTATGGTTGACAAAAGTTAAATATAACTGTTTATTGATATTTATAAAAAAAATCGATTTAACTTCGGTATTTTCGATATATCGACAAGTCAAATATTGCAATATCTATATTACAAAAATATCAATATACAGTGTATATTGAAATTTTGATATATCGCAACAGCCTATAGCAAATAAAAGTAGATATCCTACTAAAACAAGTAACAACCTTGCCTCACTTCATATAAAAGCGATGCAATTACAATGTGAAGCAGTATCATAATAGGCATCAACTGTAGCAATAATTACAATATATGGTTGTTCAACTGTTTCTACACTGTGCCTATGATAGAATAACCACAAGTGAAAATAACATGATAATATTAATATAGATCCAAAGTCAATACAAAAAAATCTGTGCAAGAGGGATAACAAAGAAAGTCTTTATTAAAAAGTCTTTATTAAAGATTCTTGGAAAAAATCCTATACAAGCCAATGGCCAAAAAAAATTATGCAAGCTGAAAATCTCCCAGTCCTAGCTCCCATCACTTTTCTAGTTGTTCACCCTTACATATACTGTAATATATATATGTTATTTACCGGATTGGAGGTCCGTATGGAGAAATATTTCTCGAGGTCTTAAAAACGGCCCGAGGCTGAAGGCCGAGGGACGTTTTTAAGACCGAGAGAAATATTTCTCTATACGGACCGACCATACCGGTAAATAATATTTTTATTTTTTTTAATTCCTCCTCTGGACTTCCCCAATCACTCCTCCCGCACGCGAATGAAGCTCCCAAATAAAACGTCGTTTCTATCAATGCTATCGGGAAGAGAAATATCTTTTGTGAGATAGTAAAATTCGTTTTCACTGTGTTTTTCATCGTCTGTAGACATTTTAATGTTTTAAAAAGTAGCCTTTAAACTCGTCTTTAAATTTTGAAAAATAAAAACATTGGCTCTACGGCTTTAAATCTCGCGCGGTCCGTACGGGCTCATACGGACCGCTCACGTAGCCAATCAGATTGCAGAAAAGCGTAAAATATGACTTCGGACCGCAAGAAAAAAAATAAACACTAGTATTCAATACCTAATTAGAAAATACAATATTGTGAACTTTACCAATTGCTGGCAAAAGTCCTTAAAGTTGTCTGATCAACACCTATTACGCCAAAACGCCATAATTAGAATTTTTGGCTAACTAATGAGCATCTGGACGTGTGACCTTTGCATTATGAATTTCAATGTGAAAAGACAAAATTTAAGAAGACAATATTCCCAGATGTTGCACAGGGCCTGTGACAGGGGCAATGTTCATTTAAAAATTGCATTTGCAACATGTAACCTATTCACAAATTTAAAATATAAAGATTTATGGCTACACAAACTCGCTAAGTTTGTGGATGGACAGGTGCAAGAAAGCCTCAAACCGCCCACTGCCTGCGAACGAAAATATTTAATAAATACACAAGATCAAAATTTTTTAGGAAATCTCTCGTTCTAATTTAAAACATAGAGCCAACAAAGCCTTAAAAATACACGCACAAGATAAACATTCACGCACAAGAATGGTCTAAAGCCTCTGTTCTGATTTGTAATACAAAACTACCTTTCATTTTGTAAACTTTCATCGACACTGATTGTATCATACTTTGATCGGACGAACAAGTTTGTCGGACGTTCTGGTGGCGGAGAGTCAGAATCATCGTCAATAGATTTATTGTTCGATATCGACCCGTTTCGCAGTGAGATGTCGCTTTCAGAAGGCATCTCATTTTGTTGTTCTTCTGTAGTTGTGGACATTTATGCAAGATTGTTGGCAAAGAACACTTCTCGACAAAAACCTGCGGCCATTAATAATAACATTTCCCATTATGCAACGCGAAGGATGATAATACATTAACATTTTAATAGAGTTCATGACATAAATGGAAGAGAAACAGGAAGTACGTCACAAAACACGATAATGGCGCATCTTCGTCCTGTTGCAGCGGTCCTGTTATCAAGAATTTGTGATTGTGAATTGCTTACAGCAAATGCGAATAGCCAACAAATATAGCACCTAGCTATGTACGCGCTAAATTTTAAAGAATGAGAACTGTCAATATTTACACATTTAGAGCTAGCACTTGCTAGTTCAAGCAACTTCAAGCGGAATATGTCTGCAGCCAAATGGCAAATGCCACATTGAATAGTTGTATATCGACATTCTATATCGAGGTACTGTATTGATCTCATATCCCGCTGGTTAAAATAGAGCATATACACGACTCCAGCAAATCTTGTTAATTACCAATACAATGGATTTTAACAACTTTTTAAATTGGTCTATTAAATAATACCTGAACTAGTGCTTAGCTTTTCTGCCTTTGAGTCTCATTTTCCTCCTGCGCTGGTACTGGCTTTTCCAGCAAGAATGCCAGATCATGTATTCATGTTACAAGTTTGATCACGTACAGTTTACCTATGCAATCATATAGTATGATAGCTTACCTATTCAAGTGAATTTCCAAAGACTCTGTGGACGGCGAATCGTCCTGCTCGGATCCGCTTGTGTTATAAAATTCATGCTTCTCATTAAATTCCTCATCATCTAGATTAAAACTCGCAGAACCGCTAGAGTTCATGCGATATACCACAGTAGGTAGAGACTTAGCTTTCTGTCGGCCATGAAATGTCATAGTGTGTGCCAATGCCACCACTTCAGTAGACATAAATGATCTTTGAACTTTGTATATATCAAATATTAAGTTTCAAGACGTCTTCTCCGTCTGTACACGGTATGACAGTCGATACACTTAAAGTGGTAAGTGCTGTCAGATTTGAATAATTGAATAACAGACGTCTGTAGTTGTTCTCCACCTGGCTCTACTAAGAATTAAATAAAGTTTTCCTCGTCTCACAACGATAGTATTGGCTGTTGAAAAAATACACAACTCCACCCACGCGATCTATTAAATGTGCTCGTATCATACGTATGCATGGCCAAAATACACAGCAGGTACCTCATTGGCCATGGTGATATCGTTATTTTACGTACAGAATGTATGTGAAGTGCTTCAAAGTTGAGATTTACGTAACATCCGCTGGGGTGGGTTATACCCACCTCATCACGCACATATACCTACTACGTGTTTACTTCCAAACGAACGAATCAGTTTCCAAATTTCAATTATATGCATTTAACATAGAGACAATATGTTATATGCCCGCGTGTTTAAAATAATTTTTTTGTTGATTTCACAAAAAAAAAACCCAAAGTATCAAATAGCACAGATATACTTGAAAAAAGTGACAGATCCGCGGAATCAATGCTTCCCCAAAACATTGAAAGTCTAAAGTCTCTAATAAAGTGGGATTTCCTGTATTTTATTTGCCGTGGTGGCAATTTTTATATTAGTTATACCGCTCTTGTGATCAGTGTCTTTCCTTTTAACTCTTACTCCTCCTTCAAAATCTGCCCGCTAGTGTCACGACATTTTATACGTTGTTTTGGTTCACGAGACATGGACAGCGATGGAGACCAAACAAATCAGCGACTACGAATTCGGTGCGCGGAATATAGTCCACTAAAAGCAATTGCAATTTGCAAGGGAACTCATCCCACGGCTGGGAACGAGGATAGGCGGAAACTATTCTTGCTGTCAAATTCAAGTCCTCAAACTGTTGGTCTTGGAAAATAAAACAAATTTTCTCTTCCTCAAGAAAATCATTAGCGACTAATAAAATGAGAAGATATATCTCAACTACATATATTAACATATTATTATTATATTAACATGTTTCCAGTCCAAATATATCGACTGGATACAAGTCTGGAGCAAATATGCTAAGCCAAGCCAACTTATTGAAAACAAGGGTATAAACATATTAACTCATGCACATAAATTTTCCAAACTGAATTGTGAATAGAGCAATTATAGTCACGGAAGCAGTATATACTATGTTATATAGGTACTAAGGGACCGTTCATTATTTATACCTGGGGTTGGTACCGAAGAGAAGCGAAAAACACTGTAAATTTTTTATTTACCCAACCTCGACATTGGTCAAAATAATGTTCACCCAACCCATGTGTTACTGTACTTCATAATATTTAAACACATAAGATTATGGTGACAGAAATCAAGTTGCCTAAATTCTAAAAGCTCACTCACTCTCAAACTCACTGGTACAGAATGTATTGTACACATTTTTTTTCATATTTTCCAATGCATGGTAATTTTGGTTAAATTTTATAGCTGACAGAGAGCCACAAATTTTTTTACCCAACCCATAAGCTAGCCAAAAACTTGATTACCCAACCCATATCTCTTCGGTACCAACCCCGGGTATAAATAATGAACGGTCCCTAACTAATTAATAGCGATCATGAATTAGAATGTCTGCAATTAACCACGGGGCAGTATTAAAAACACGGGCAAGCTAGGAAACGGCTACGGCGCCCCAGATTCTCTCTCTTCAGTCTTCCTCAGAGTGTTTTAGTTTAGAAACCCTGGTACCGAGGATGACCACGCAGGCCATATGCGGAGAAGAGAGCCTCTGATCTATGTGTGATGCCGGTCCACACTCCCTTTGATTTTAATTTCTATTCAAGCTGTGATTAAGGCGTGCTGGTTTTGGCTTCTTGATTGTTAAAGATACGTGTATAAACACAGTTCAAGCTGATTTGACATTGTTTTGTGTTATTACAAGGCTGAAGCTTTTCTCAGGACTCTTAACCACAGGGCATAGGAACTGTAACAGAATGTTGTAATATGCATGAAGCGGGAATTTCACTGCGGGCTTCGATTTTTTGACCCATGAGGGACCAATCGTTTATTTCGTCCCAGGGAGGGGTGTTGGTTTGAAAGGTGTGTGTGTGTGGGGGGGGGGAGCGATGTGGCGTCAAATTTTGCCAGAACTGCGTTTTCAAAGGAGGGTTTCAAAGGAGGGGTATATTTTAAAATTATTAAAAATATAGGTGGGGGATAAACGTTTGGACAATGTCTCAACCAACCCTCGTACTGGCTTCATATAAAAAATGTCATGTTTTTAAATTCACTGTTAGGTTATATACCTTGTGTTTGGACAATACTCGTTTTTCAGTCTGACACCGTGTGTAAAATAGCAGATTCTCAGTTGGAAGGCAAAGGGGGTTATATTCAAGCAAGCAAGGCATGCATGTAAAAATTCTAAGATAGTACATGATTTTGCTTTACTACCAACGCGCACTAGTTCCAGTCTTCTGCTGCATCACAATCATACAAAGAAGGGTTATCTTTTGATATGTCACGAAACCTAATCCAATCCCTATCCCTAACCCTCTCTCCTCCGCAGAGGCTTTTTTAAAGAATATGAAATTCGAAGGAATTGAAATTGCGCTAGAAGGTATCTGGTATGAAGACAACCGCTGAAATCTCTGGCTTCATACCAGATACCTTCTAGCGCAATTTCAATTCCTTCGAATTTCATATTCTTTAAAAGCCTCTGCGGAGGAGAGAGTCCCTAACCTCTTATATTAATTTCGTGACTGCGTGACATGAAAATGTAACCCCTAAAGAAGCACGATATCTGCGTATTTCACCGCGCCTCTCGCAACATATACTCTTACTATAAGTCCTAGCCGATATATTACCATACAAATTATATATACGCTGTGTTAGCTACACGATCGTTTCTCTTTCATATAAAATATAGATCCACTTTCGAGTAAAATGTTATGCTATTCTGAGTCTCATAAACCACAATTGCATGCGAATATACTATAAGTTATAGTATAAAGTTAACTATTTGAATTTGTATAGATGCCTATTACACAAAGGAAAGAGTTCAATTCAGTTATAATTTCATGAGTCATGTACGTTATAAATAACAACAAAGATCAGCCTGTTATCGTTGAACTTCAAATGGTTCCTGCATGCATGGTCACTAAGTAACACTGATGAAAATTGTTTGCGGGGAAGTAAGCAATTGAAAAAATACCATATATGTAAATGTAATATATGCACTGCCCACGGCATAACCACACCTTAATATGCCTACAGATATAATTATCATAACATAATATATCAAAGTTAGTTTCTTTGATTCTAGAATTAAGAGTACTCAGAGTGTTGATAAGAAAATATTGCGTATAGCCAGCAGTATATATAGCTTTATAATTGAGATACATACAATACATCGGATTTAATGGAAAGTTAGTATTTTCAATAAAAAAGTTTAAATGGCTTTAATCACAAATAATAATATTAAGTTATGATAACATATACATATATATATATATATATATATATATATATATATATATATATATATATATATATATATATATATTATATATATATATATATATATATATATATATATATATATATATATATATATATATATATATATATATATATATATATATATATATATTAAACTTGACGTTTTCCGATTTCTGCACTCATTTTGTTTTGTCTTGAAATATATAACAATTATGTATGACGGACAAATGTACATGTACTTATAATCACGTCACGCGAATTCATTTTTATATACAGATAAGATAAGATTGGTATCCATAGCTCATATAGGGCCCTGTAATGCTGTATACATTATTTAAGTAATCGGAATTTTGTTTCTTACATGAATATTCGTTTCTTACTCAAAATAATTGTATATTGATTAATGTAGCCTCTTTGCAGTTTATTTTAATTTGATCCTTAATAAATACTTTTGAGATCGGTATCTCTAACACTTATCACTGATGTCTGATGATGATGAAAACTAGTATATATATTATATACCGAAAAAGAGTTAAAAAGAGTCATTTTGCGATCGTTGGTTCTCAAGACAAATGACGTCAATGGCCGCTAGTGCACATGCATACCTATATCGTGAGAGAATGATCGATAACAAAGTTCTAAATTATGTCATTTTTTGCTGTACGTATATATTACATGCCTATTGGACAATGTCAATGATATCGAAAATATGTAATGCCCCAAAAATTGCAATTTCATTCATGTATAACATATAGCGATGCAACAATATAATATATACACACATAAGTCACATATACAATATATAAGCATTTATTTGCCTTTAGTTTAATCTTCGGAGGTTTGCAATGGGAAGATACGAAGGGAAATAACTTCCAAAAGTTGGCAACGTTTCATAATCCGCATTTCGAGGCGAATTATGGAAATTGAATAGATTTTTAAGTCACGAACAGCATGTGGCAATTCCATGCGTTTATTTTGAAGCTATATATACATGCATAACCTCCCAGGTAGGCTATATATGTGCCATGCATATGCATGTGGCATCAGCGGATTTGACCTTTGCAGAATACTTCAAGTATCACCTGACCATATAGCCATATAGGCTAGTTGCTGAACGTGCTTATTTCCTAAATTAATTGGTATAGCTCCGTTCACTAATACACTATAGTAATAGTATAATAATTAATAGTATAGGCTATAAACTGTAAGTGAAACCGTAAAGAGTAACATAGACATAGTCGCAGTTTCGCAGATAAATTTCATGGCATAGCCATAGCCATAGCCATAGGCATAGACACTATGCATAGTTGAAAAATAAAGTGTGTTAGTGTGCAGAGTATATATGCACATTGAGCTCCCTGGATAACTGCAGGATCAAGACAAAAGTACACGAGTAGGAAGAGTTACATTGGCATATAGCCATAGCATATAGGAGTCAACAACGAAGTAGGCCTATATTGCTATGATTGCATACACGAATCACAGTAATTGTGAAAGTCATTCCATTCAAGATCATTATCCAAGATCTGCAAACTTATAATTCCTCTATTACTCCAAAAAAGCTGTTTGTACGTAATATTTCAAACACAGACGGAGCCTGGACATGGATCAGGAGCCTGGATATAGGAGCCTGGACTTGGATCAGGGCTACGGCATAGCTGCGGCAAGATCAAAGGCAGGCATTGCAATATCAATAGTGATGCGAGGACCTTTTTTCCTTTTCGCCCATAATTCATAAGTCTTTTAATAATATTTACAAAAGTTTTCTTGCAGTTACACTTATACAGTAAAGCAAGTGCTTGCTATATTAATGCACGCACATACC